TATCTCCACAGAATGTGGGTGTGTGGTCACTCTTAGCTTCATTTCTCCCCATAGACCTTACTGGCATGGGTGTCCCTACCAGGAGCTTGTGCTCCAGCCTGCATTGCCCTATGGTTCAGTAAAATTACTGGGCTCTCTCACCACGACCAGGTGGTGACCACGGGAGAGTATTATTATTATTATTATTATTATTATACTAAAATTTTAAAATTTATTTTAGGTGTGAAAGCTTCAGATCATTATATCAATTAGTGAGGACCTGCCAGTGCCCTTTCTTTTATTTATGTGCAGCATCATTCACAGTTCTTTTTAGAGCAGCAGGTATTAATGGTTTTGCTGAAATAAATGCAATGATAACTCCAACTACTAGAGGTCTAAGACAAGCTCTTATCGCTGAAGGTTAGTCTCTATCATTGAAGATTTGATTATATATATTTCAAAAATTTATCACATAATTAATGTCCAATGTTACAATTTCAAATAGTTATATAATATACTTTTTGTGTAACATAATTTTTCTCTTTTTTTTTAACAACTTATGATTAGATTTTAAAAAGCTAAAAAAATTTTTAAATAAACAAACATTCATTTAAAATATATTTATTTCATTGGAAGATTAAATTATTTTTTATTATATCATTATTTTTATTTTTAAGAAAATTAATTAAATTTTAAAAAATAAACATTATTTATTAAATTAAAAGAAAATAATGTTAAAAACCCAAGTCACATTTCTACTGTAATAATGCATTTTCAGTTTTTAAAAAATATTGTAGTTTATTAATCAAATTTTAAACTTGAAATTTATTAGTAATTATCATTACCTTTTATCATTGCATTATTGGAATTTAAATATCATTGTATCTAACTAATATAAACACCCAACAGCATGAGAAATGTCATTAAGAAAGGAATTAGAACAAATTAAAAGAAAATGTAACCACTTGTTTGCTTCAACCATACATGATTGATTGCGAAGTTCGATATTTTCAAAGATTTGATTTGAAAGCATTCAGAGAATTTGGGTTATTCTAAAATGCAAAGATACACCACCTGATGAAGGCTGGTAAATAGGGCAGAAAAACATTTTGTGACAATTATAAATAAAATTTTCAGCATAAAGGTGAAAGTTTTGACACTATAGAGTGAGGTGGACAAGAACGAATATATCTAACTAATGTCTCAAATAATATATTTTTGTATAATTTAATTTGCAAGATATTAATATTAGATTGCCAGAAAATTTTAGATGATTTTAAATTTTATTGGATTTATGTTAACATAATGGTCATTTATACCTTAAATAAAAAATACGTGAGAAATAAATTTATAGTTATTACTAGAAATTGATTTTCTCATTCTGTGCCAAATAATTTATATGAAGATTTCAAAAAAAAAAAAATATTGAACTTTAGATTATTTTGCAATGAGTAGTAGTTATGTAGCTTAACAATTTATAATTTGTCATGTTATGTGACATTTTGTGTATGCTAAAATTTTAAAAATAGGAAACTAAAAATAATTAAACTTACTTCGATATTTGATTTGGGATGTTTATTAAAGATTTTAAAACTGAGAACAATTGAATATTTCTAGTAATCATGTTTCAAGTAAAATTTAAATGTAAAAATATCAACTTTATTCCAAGAAAATATTTTATTAATAGGATCTGAAAAATTTGTAGTCATATAAAAGTTTTTTTGTTTTAGCTAAATGATAAAATGATGCTTTTTAATCAATTTTTTAATTTCCTAATTTAGGAATCAATTTTACTATGCCTTTGAGTGAAAGGAAAACTAATAACCCTGGAAATGAATTTACACAGGACACTTATTCTCAGTTGTCAAATACAAGTGATGAATCTATCATTCCAGGTGACAGTGGGTAAGTAAATAAAAATATCCTCTAAAAACTTTCTAGTTTAAAAATAAATTTAATGTAATTTATATATTTTAGATTTGTTGAGGGAAATGATGAATTAGCGAGTGATGACGAAGAACCAGGTTCCTGGCTTGAAAGTTTAGGTCTTAGTCAGCAAGACTTTCCATCTTTAAATCCCAATAAGATTAAATTGTATCCTTTTTAAAAATTCTAATTAAAAATTAAATTCCACTGTAGCTATAAAGTTATTGCTATTTGTTGTCTACAGCAGTGGTTCCCAATTAGTTTTTCCTGCATACCACTTCAAGAAAGAGCTCAAACTCGCGTACCCCTTATAGCAGAAATTCATATTAATCCATACTAATATTATAAATTCGAAGGTAATTCTATCTGTCTGTCATCTTTTTACATCTAAACCGCTGAACAGGTTTTAATAAAATTTGGCACAGAGATAGCTTACGTGTTGGAGATGGGACATAGGCTACATTTTACTGCGAGAAAATATCTTACTCCCACGAGAAAATTCGATATAATGCGGGCGAAGCCGTGGGTAGACAGCAAGTGATAAATAGAATGTTTTTTTATACATTTATTACCTTTAAAATACAATTCTAATAATAATGAAAATAACATAAGGTTATTTAATTTTAATGCGACAAATGTGCACGATTTTCTTTGCACAACTTTGCAAAATCTGGTTG